AAACGAAAAGAATACGCTTAAATGAGCAAAGACAAACGCTTAAGACTGACGATCCAAAAACAGGAGAATACCAACAGAGACTCTGAAGTCGTTTCATTTATAGCTGGCAAGACAGGTATAGGCTAACGTCAGTTGATTTGAGCCCATAAACCTTGATGGAAGCAGGAACATCTGGCCAAACTCCTATTAGTGGCGCTCATTTGCAAGGTCATTCAAAAGGTGGGAAACTGTAGGTTACAGCGTTCAAAAACCAAATATTTTAGTCGAGTATGTAGAAATAACAGTTTCCAGGTTTTCGTCTACAAACACATTTCTATCCACACATTTTGTCAGACCTATGCAACATGCGACTACACAATGGTATCGCGTGTCCTCTTTAGTGTGACTGGAGGTTAATGTTAGTTTGCCAAACAAAACAGGCAACGGAAGAATGTGCGGCAATCAAACCTAAAGTACACTAGCGCATGGAAATCGGAATCCCTATCTGCTACTGCTCTCTGCTTTTGTATCTGATGATGCATCCGTGACGGATCTCGAAATGTCAGGCGAATAGAAATATTGTCCCGGCAGTCGAGTCATCTTTTTCTCTAATTGGAGTCTCTAGGACACTCTATGGGAGCTGGGTACTTTGGAGTGTACATGACGTTTTGTTCCTCATCCTATTTTTTCCATAATTATGCCCACCGAAAGAAAGTAAAAGAAAATGATTGGAAGCTTGTGGTCCATCTCTACGAACAGCTGTTGACGACATCGCGACCCGACTCCACCCCAAACATGGCAAAGCATACCGAAAGTAGGCTATGTTGAACTGTGGATGAGCAAGCACTACCGACCAGGGGGGTTCAAAGCCTACGTGAGGTATTTTGATTTATGCTTTTGAAATGCGAGCTCCACAGACGCGCACACTGAACTCACCAACTCACTTGTCCGTTGTTACTCTTAAGCAGGATAAGGTGCGTTTCATAAGACTATAATAAAAATGGATCAGGAAGAAGGCGACAATCAGTTCAACCGACTGGAAAATTTACCTAGTTTTAAAGGTTTTGCCTGATTTGCAACGTAATCAAACAGGCAAGCTACAACTAACACGAACATTTATCTAGGCGGATGCAAACAACCATGATAGCAATAGCGGCCGAAAATTGATAATTGAGAAGCTAATAAATCGAGAATTTCGTGAAACAACCTACTTTTTGTATATCTAAGACTGGCAATGGAACTATTTTAAAATACCGACCGGCTTACAAAATAGTTCCTGTACATTCTTCTTGGTTAATAGTTTTTAAGGGTTAATAAAATATGTTATTTTTCAGTTTTATAAGTCGACTAGAATTTATCTAACCAATAATAAAAGAAGAAGGTTAATGAGATAAAGTTGCAAATTTCTTAATAAGCGAAGTAATTAAGAATCGTTTTATGCTGCACTCATAAGGGCGCATTATTTCCCAAGGAATCGATTAAAACGGACCGCCTACGATAAAGAGCTTATTCGTCCTACGACTGGCTAGCCATCAGCATACAATCGCAATTTACCTCAACAATCGACCATTAAGCCGTCCAATAGGAAAGTTATTAAAGGTTTGATTACATTTGAGAGCTGGTCCGTTTTAGAAAAAAATCGCTTGTGGCACTCCTTACTAAATATAGGGCACACACCCGACTGCTAAGCTTTGCCTCCTCCTTAGGCACACAGCCATGTACACTAACAGTACTGGAAACTTTGCTGCCTTGTTTCACGAAGATCATTAAAATTTGAACTGCTAGTTTCACATAAAGGTTTTGGAGCTCACTTCTGACAAATAATCCGCAAAACGGATGCTGAGTTTTTAGCAATGTTCATTTGTCTGCGGTGTTTGGCCTAAGTGCCTACAGAACGGTCTGCTTTTTGTGCAAGTCCCTAGGAGAACGAGCACACGACGTTCACTAAAACTTACGGTTTGCTTTTGGTGTTAAAAATTTAGGAAACTGCAATGATTTGCTTAAAAACCAGATTTTGTTTTATTTAAAATGGCAAGTTTGCATGGGTTCGTTGCCGTGCTTCATACTGAAGGATGACTTCTAAAGGTGTGAGGAAAAGAATACACAGAAAAATACTAGAATTATTAGAACCAAATAATAGTGCAGGGAATTGACGTAATAACGAAAACTCAAACCTTCCCCAAATTCAGCACGGTTGTCTAGGTGACGCACTAAATATTTTGGATAATACTTCACAGACAGACGTATATTGTGAAAAATGTTTGCAGTTCCTGAACAAATTGAGAAATAATATTTGCAAGTTACTCCAGCTCGAAGCGTGCCCAATAACTGAAAGAAGATGTACAAAACATCAATATATTCTCGAATCTATCCCTTTAAAACTTTTCTGAAGTTGCGGTTGATTTTCAGCGCCTCTTTTATTGACATTTACACAAAGGTACTCTTCGGTCGCTTCTACCACTTAAATTCAGTCAGGAGTGTATTGTTATTTGGAATTATGCGAGCGACCGTAAATAGGAACCCAACATTTAGTCTATCGTGTTAAGAATTTTAAAGTCTAACTGTGTTAAGCAAGGAATTTTCGGGTAGTCTCCATTTTATTGCATACTCAAGGCACAAGTTATCAGTATGCAGTTATTTACTAAGATATAAATACGCTTGCGAACAGTAGAGCAAAAATCGCATATATATAATAAATATTCAATTTAATTATACTGTACGGCGCTTCGTTACAATGTTTCCAAATGACGGATTTGCAATGAACTGCTGTGAAATATGAAGTTGTGAGAGTAGCGACAGTGACTTCATTTATACGCTGGGAGAAGGCAAGGGTTATGTTTGACTCCAGGGCTTCAACTTTAAGTAGTCAGCTAATCTATCGAAAATGTGAGCGGGATAACTTCAAATACCAAATGGCAATTTAATGATTTTCGTATAGCAAAGTTTGTATGACTGGCCTATTTTTGGCCAGAATTTGGCTGCAATTAGGCTTAAATGCTATATTTCGAAATCACCTGGATATCGCCATGACCCACTGCATCACGTAGATTATCCCCTAACACTGAAACTAAAATATGTGATCTCAGTACCGGGTTTTAGATTCTGACTCCATGTATGCATATTTTCCGCTCTACATGTATAAAAATATATATAATTTAGGTAGTGACAACATACTCCAACATGCATATCGCTTCCTTAAAACGCTAGAAAGTATTGTGATTTCATAATTTTTAAATTATAATCCTGTTGACCTAACTGTTTACCACTTCAGGATCTCCGTGTAACCTCAGAAAGGCGCAAACAACTATTTCTTACAAATACTGAAATAAAAGCCCAGCTATCTGACAAAATTGGTCAATTAACGCGCGTGCTTTCATCTTCTGCTACCGAAGCTCCCAGGGTACGTTCACAGACATTTAAAGATGTGCGTCTCGTAGCCTTCTACTGACAAAGGTATTTAGAATTATAATTAATCAAGATTATGTTTCATCTTCACCACGTATCCGCTTGCCTACAATACATGAAACTTTAAATTTTAATGACAAATTTCACACAACCTTAATGCAGTCGTAGATCTTGTGAACCCGGTTGCAACGAACCAATGGCTATTTTTAGTTCACTACGGGGAACTCAAAATTCCTGGTTTTCTTACCGGAAAAAGTTTATGCCTAATTAACCAGATAATGTGAAACGATTAGCGTGAGCTAATGTTTTCTTTGATTTGCAAAATACCGAAGAACGCAAGTCGGTCGATATTAAGGAAGGTGATGTGGCTGTTTCGGTTAAATAATTCTTTATTAGGAAATAAGTAAATTTGCGTCTCTCACGTGTAGACAGAAAAAGTTAAAGCCAACATGGAATTGTGCGGGACCGGATTAAATAAAGGATAGCACAGGTAAATTTTGTTGGTTCGTAAACTTTCCTAGACAATGTAAGAAGTACTAAAACATATGGCGAAATGAAATTCAAAGCACCGCTAATGAATTGAATAAAGGACTGGTTTAGGAGTTTGACCCACGTCTAAGCCAAGCGCACATATATGTAGTTTACACAAAAATCGTCATTATACAACCTTTTTTAGGGATTGAAGTTTGACTTATGCTGTGTTTGAGATTTATCCTGGAAAGGGATTCGAAAATAGCTATTTTTGCATCCTGCCCTCTACAGTCAGCTAGACACACCTCCGGACAGAAAGACATACCACGCAAATCCTGTTATTGATCCAATAAATACACTTAGATGGTCGGCTAACCAGACTTACCTACAGGTTCAAATATCCAAACACACAGAAGTGATCTTTGGTTGGCTATCTTCTTTGAAAGTTTTATTTGTACCTTTTTGATCTTGATGATGAGATGATTAATTGCTAACGTCACCCTGATCGTCAATTCATTTGTATGTAATTTTGTCGTCTTCTTGTATAGACGGTTATTTTAAATGTTTTGGCCGAACCGAAAACAGAGTGTTCTTTAAACTGTACAGTCCAATAGGTTTGTCGTCGTAAGTGCCAGCGTCACTCGCTATGGCAGACAGCAACCTGCGCATCAATATTTTAGTACTGAAAAAGATTTGCTCTGAATCTTTCCCAATCGTTCAGCCCTCGCCGTCTCGCTCTGCTTGAGAAACGTGGACAGAGACCGCAGGTGGGCGCGGGCCCAGCGGCTATCATCCTAGACAACCAGTCTCTGCGCCCACCATACGACTAGGCCCACATTCAATTTATATACGAGTCACATTTAATAAAGATTTACAGGTCCGACCGATGTGAAAAATCACAGAAGAGCCACATAAAAAAGAAGTAATAACAGCCTACTCTTCAATCCTGATAATAGCCCAGCTACCGCATTAGTTGACACCCTTCCAAGTCACGACTCCTGGTATGGATCCAAATGCGACGTGTTTAAAAAAGTGAGTCATGCGCTACTTTTCCACGTGGACGGATTTTCCATTACTGTCTCGTCCTCTTATGCACTGGTCGACTTTCAAATCTTGTCAACCTTCTAGCAATATAATTGAGGTGAATGGTTCTTGTGATCTGTGAATATCCGTCTAAAACTGGCAAAAACATGTTTGGCACCAGTAGAGCATGCGCACAGATGGCTTTGCTAAATAAACTGGGACCAGAAATGGTATGTACTCTCGAACGTTTCAAGGCTAAACGTCATTATATAAATTGCTTAATTTGCATGATACTGCGACTTTATCAGAAAACCGAGGCCTTACCTGCATTAGTACCTGCTGAATCTGAGATCGATAAATAGTCAAAACGACACAGTAGTGGAACACGTTCTATGCCAATACTTTAGTTTGCATAAAAACAGGTGTTGCCATTTCTGGAATAGTTATGAAATGATGTGTTGTTAACAGTTTCGAGTTTTAAACGCAATATGTTTTGTTATATTTTTAGACAACAACCACTGAACTTGAGGAGGCGATAGAGTCCCTGAAGGTACATTTTATACCTTTCTTAAAACACTGTCGCTTTTATGGTAAACAACACCATTTTTCTTTTAAGTCGGTCGGCATGTATGCTTTCCCATTTGAAGGGATATATACTTTAAAACATGTCAGCACTCCGCATTTAGATTTTCAATTTCGATTAAATGAAAGTTTGCCCTCATTGCAGTGTTACAGCTTCAGTAAAATTTCCTGCCTACCCACAGCTTCTTCCATAGTTTTTTAATCTAACGGATAATAATTTATTTTGGCAGACGGTTATTTTCTTACCTGATTTTACCATCCTTTGTTTCGAAGGGCAATAAAAACAGCATGCACTGGTCTCATAGAGAAGAGATACTGCAGTATACTGCATTCATAGATCACGCTAAAATGTATAGCATAATGAAGTCGCTTTCCAATAAACATGTTTTTTTTTCAAGCTTAAACTGCGTGAATCAGAGCGACACTGCACACTTGAATCCCTTCGTTACGAAGAACTTCTGCTTGATCTTGAATCTTCCCAAATGCGGCAAAGACATAATGAGCTGGGGTCCCTTTTGCTTGAAAAGTCAACACTGCAATCCAATTCTACCGATAAGGACACTCAGCGTGATCTATTTGACCTCATTAAGCCGACAAAGAACATTGAAGTCACTTGCAATACAAATACCCAGGGAATGGATCAAGATGGTAAAGACTGAGATTTCAACCTACGCTCTAAACGTTAACATAATATAATATAATAATTTACGAGAGTAGGTAAAATTTGTGTTTCTAGTATTTTGTGAGATGTCAGTGAAATAAATATATGAAAGTGAAGCCCTCACGTGTGATCTTTGAATATCTAGCGGTAGGCTGTTCATGTGGAGTTTTCAATGGCATCAGACGTATCTGAAAAGCTTATGTTCATGAACCGTTTATACACCTTTTCGAGTATTAGATGTGCAACACTTATTTTCACAGAATGTATTCCTTGATGATTTGATATAGGCCAAATTGCTGCCAGTATCAGCCACGTTTAAAGAGCTTTGTATAAAGCAAGATTAAAATGCAATCACATGTTTCTGTGCGCCTTACCAAGGCTGCACATTTTGGTATAAATTTACTCATGAGTCCCAGAAAGCCGACTGCCGAAATGTAGGCGTTGCAGGACGAAAATTCATTTGGTAGTTTAAGGCGTGGAAAAAGGTAAACTATACATTTGAAGTGACTTCCACGAGAACATTTGATTAGGTGCTAACTTCGTTATTCCTGACCTGACTGCTAACCCTTAAGGAATACTGGTTTCACATGATGAACACCAGGGATATATTCATGGAGAATGGCAAAAGTATTGGAAATTGCTTTAACTAAAGTAAATACTACAGTGCCCGGAAAACTAAGTGCTGGTTTAAAATTTTATCTATTTTTGGCAATGAAAAGAAGTAAGAGAAACGTTTAAGACCGAAACATGTTTGTGTATTTGTTAAAAATGGCTTGATTTAGGGCAACTAAAAATAGCACACCAGGGTTGGGAAAATGTTTGCAAACCGTCAGTTTAGATATTTTGAGAATGTTTTTGTTCCAATTTTAGAGTCTGCTATAGATGATTTGGATGAGTTCCCAAACAACGAAGAGTGGATTATTAATAGGCGTGGTACGTTGCTTCTCGATATTATATTCATTCTAAACGCAAGGTAATGTGGCCTAATCTATAAACCACATTTTGATTTCATGAACTGCAATTTATTTTTTGGGTCCAACGGATAACATTCAAAATCTATAATGCTACAGAAAATATTAACATGTGACTATTATTAGAAGTGTGAATTAATGAATTTTTAGGATAGTATTTTACTAATTATATTACAAAGAATCTACAAATAAGCGAGTCGAATGTAAATTTCCAACGATAAGGACAGGATGGATAAAAAACGATTTCACAATAAGTATTATCTTCTGAAAAAAGGTATCTGAAGTTAGCAATCTGTCACTAACTACAAGCTAAAAACAAATGCCTCACCCAGTCATTGTGAAGTTTTAAAATCGAAGCGACATAACTGCGGAAAGATAGAGAGGGAGTACAATAAGCGCTCTACAAAACCGCCCAAGTATAAAATATTTCACGCAGGAGTTTTCACTGGGACTGCACTGTAAAGCATGTGCTGGACTTCATCGTGAGCAAATGTCGAGTTGACGTAGAGCAGTGTGTCGCTACTCGAAATGGCGTATTTGTGAGATAATTTACGATGTACGCAGGTTCGTATAAGGCGGAGAACAGCCGAAGTAGTATGATAAATCACACCAGACTGCTCATCTGCGTTCAATTGGTCAGTCATTCGCATGACTCAGTCACGCCTACTAGTTGCCAGATGATGGTCGTTACCCACGCCAGTCCTTTGCCAAGTGCTCTGCAACCTATGCTAAATTCCTTATATACAGAAGGGAATGTCAAAACGTCCATTTCTCT